TTATGAAAACTGTTTATATCTTAATTAAATACTTTATGTGGTGATGTTTGATTCTCACAGTGCAGGTCAGTTAATGTATGCAGGCGATGAGTCACAATAACGTGGCTGAAGTATGTTGACCAGACCACACACTAGAAGTTGAAGGGACGACGACGTTTCGGTCCGTCCTGGACCATTCTCAAGTCGAAACGTCGTCGTCCCTTCAACTTCTAGTGTGTGGTCTGGTCAACAGTCAGTTAATGTAGACTGCACAAATAAAACGAGAAAACTTTGGAGGTGGGAATGATTTTATAGTATAATATTATTTACTGGAACAGCTATCTAGCTGGGTAAAGGAATTCCAGTAAACTGCTGTATACTAAATAAAGTAAACCTATTGCTAAATAATTATCCTTAATAAAGGAAAGGAAATGGTTGGACTTCTATTAGATCTGCAGATACAGTATGTGGAAATTTATTCTCCTTGGGTGGCTGACGCAACACTTCACAATTCTAGGAGAAATTACATGATGTTCCACATCCTAATGCAATGAATTCTATGATACTAAACTACAGATTAGTAGTGTTAGTTAATTATGACGCTTAGTACTGGGAATACATCCCATTGTACTAAGGATTAGTAAATGAGTGTGAAGCCTAATACAGGAAATACATCCTATTGTATTAGGGATGAGAATAACTGTTGGAAATTTCCAACAGTAGGGCTCCTATGCTCGTGGGGCCCCTGGGCAAGTGCCCATCGGGTCCATCCAGTAAGATGGTTCTGCCTTAAAATGGACCCCTGTGGTATCCCACTTACCACATTTTTCCAATCGGATTTATTCCCAGTTAGCACCACTCCTTGTCATCCACAGGATGGGTATTGGGCCCACTGGATGGGTATATGGTCCACTACCCACAGAATGGGCATGGGTCCACAACCACCCACAGGATGGAAATGGGGTCCACTACTGCCACAGGATGGGTATGGCATCCAGTGCCGCCCACAGGCTGAGTATAGGGTCCAGTACCGCCTACGGGATGGGTACGGGGTCCACTACCACCCACAGGATGCGTATGGGATCCACAACCGCCTACAGGGTGGGTATGGGGTCTACGTCCATCCACAGAATGGGAATATGCTCCACTACCACCCACAGAATGTGTACAAGGTCCACTACCACCCACAGGATGGGTATGAAGTTCACTACCGCCCACGGAATGAGTATAAGGTCCACTATCGCCCACACGATGGGTATGAGGTTCACTACCGCCTACATGATGGGTATTGGGTCTGCAACCACTCACAGGTTGGGTATGAGGTCCGCTGTGTATATGTATGTATGTATATATATATATATATATATATATATATATATATATATATATATATATATATATATATATATATATATATATATATATATATATATATATATATATATATATATATATCGTACCTAGTAGCCAGAATGCACTTCTCGGCCTACTATGCAGGGCCCGATTTGCCTAATAAGCCAAGTTTTCATGAATTAATTTATTTTCTCAAATTTTTTTCTTATGAAATGATAAAGCTACCCATTTCATTATGTATGAGGTCAATTTTCTTTTATTGGAGTTAAAATTAACGTAGATATATTACCGAACCTAGCCAACCCTACCTAACCTAACCTAACCTATCTTTATAGGTTAGGTAGCCGAAAAAGTTAGGTTAGGTTAGGTTAGGTTAGGTAGGTTAGGTAGTCGAAAAACAATTAATTCATGAAAACTTGGCTTATTAGGCAAATTGGGCCTTGAATAGTAGGCTGAGAAGTGCGTTCTGGCTACTAGGTACGACATATATATATATATATATATATATATATATATATATATATATATATATATATATATATATATATATATATATATATATATATATATATATATATATATATATATATACAGTATATATATATACTCTCGCAATTAAAATACTCCAAAAACTTCTATATTCTTTTTCAACTGTGTGTTGTTTTCTTTTAATTTAATCGATTGAACATTCACCCTCTGAACCATTCATAAGTAGGGGGTCCCCCTATTGATGTCTTAGTACTCATGTAACACCAGGGGCCAAAAAAAGGAATTTTCAGCTCAGGCTATGGGCTCGCCCGGGGAGGGAGGTGGGGGTGTTGATGGGGGATGGGGGTGATTAGGGGGACTGGGTCTGAGGGTACAGACTACCACCCCACCCCACCATCTATAGTCAGGCTCATACCGAGGGACTCGTGCCCTAACCCAACCGCTTAAAAAATCATTTTTCACGATTTGGCCCACGGGGGTTGAGTCGGCACAACACTGCCCAATCATTTCTCAAAATCAATTCCTTATTTGTCTCGTTTCTGCCTACTATGCGGCTCCAAGATGGAGTCTACATCTAGTCACGCATAAAACTAAACTGGAAAAGGCTCAAAGGTTTGCCACCAGACTAGTACCCGAACTGATGGGTATGAGCTATGAGGAGAGACTATGGGAATTAAACCTCACGTCACTGGGAAACAGAAGAATTAGAGGGGACATGATCACTACATACAAGATTCTCAGAGGAATTGATAGGGTAGATAAAGACAGATTATTTAATAAATAGTCTGCATTTGTCATAGTGATAAATAAATAGTGCTGCAAATATCAACTGGGAATCCGAGTTAGGTAACATAGGGAACATAAACCTAGCAGTGCAATCATTTCTTCAAAAAACTCTCAGCCTTTACAACACCCACTGCCCTTTGCTAACGAAACAAGTCACAACTAAAAGGCTAAACAATCCTTGGCTAACAGGAACCTTCAGTGTTGTTTTACATTACCCTTTCATTACATTACATTACCCTTTCGTTCTATGTTATGATTTGACTGCGTTTGGTACGTGGTTTCCGTTTTTATATTTTCATTTATTCCATAGCACAGGAGCTGGAACTTATCTTCATTAAACACCATATTATTTTCTGTAGCCCATAGCGAGACTTGATTTACATCTGATTGGAGGTTTGCCGTGTCCTCTATGGGATGTCTATTCCCATAAAAATCCTTGTGTCATCTGCAAAGAATGATACAGTGCTATAGATTGTGTCCTTGTCTATATCTGATATGAGGATGAGAAAAAGTACTGGAGCATGCATAGTACCATGAGGGATTGAGCTCTTCATGGTTGATGGACCAGATTTTATTTTGTTGACTATTACACATTGGGTTCTGTTAGAAAATTGCAGATCCATCTGCCTATTTTTCTGGTAATTTCTTTTGAACACATTTTGTGTGCAATAACAACATGGTCACATTTGTCGAAGGTTTCTGTGAAATCTGTGTAAATTACATCAGCGTTTTGTCTGTCTTCCATGGCATCTAATGTCAAGTAATAGTGGTCCAGCAATTGTGATAAGCAAGAGTGCCCTGTTCTGAAACCATGCTGTCCAGGGTTAGGAGGTGCTGTGATTCCATGTATTTGGTGATCTTACTTCTTAGCACTCTTTCAAAGATTTTTATGATGTGTGATGTTAGTGCTATCGATCTGTAATTTCTTGCCTCTGCCTTATTTCCTTCTTTATTGAGTGGTGCTATCTCTGCTATTTTTAGTATGTCAGAGTTAACGCCAGTATCTAGGCTCTGTCTCCAAAGAATGAGAAGGGCTTGCGATAAGTGTTTTTTTTACAGTTCTTGATAAATGTAGAGTTCCAAGAATCAGGGCCTGGTGCAGAGTGCATAGGTATACTGTCCATGGCTTCTTCAAAATCCTGTAAGGATAGGGTGACATGTGATATATGATATGATGTTGGTATCACATAGATGAAAAATTCATTTTGATTTTAGTGTGTTTAGTGGCTTGCTGAAAACAGTCATACTGATTCCTCATTATTTTGCTTATTTCTTTGTTGTCATCAGTGAAAATTCCATCTCCCTTTCACAGGGGACCGATACTAGATGTGTTTTTTTAACTTGATTTTGTTTAGGAGAAAAAATATTTAGGAATTATCTCTATTTCACTGATGGCCTTTTGCTCTCTTTGCCTCTCCCGGATTTTGTATGATTCTTGTAGCTGTTGTTCAATCGTTTTTATTTCTCTACCTAGCCTTCTTCGTCGTTCTTGATATAGGGTGTGACTCAAGTTGTTCCCTGATTTGTTTTCTTTGCCTCTAAGGGAACATCGTTCCCATTCAAATATGCATCTCTTCCTCTTTTTTCTTAGGGGTATGCAGTTTGAGCATATTTCTAGTGCTAATGAGCTTATTTTTTCCAGACACTGGTTCAGGTTTGCATTTTCTAGTTGTTCTTTCCAGCTTATTTCTGTGAGGTCTTGGTTCTATCTGCCAGCCAAGATGAATACAGGACCTCGTACCACAGCCAATAAATTGAAGCAAACCTAGAATTGAATGAGACCAGGTCCAACTAGGAGGCAATGACAATATATACTGCTCTTTCAATGACCTGCCTATAGTGTACTGTCCACTCTCTAACTTACCTATACTGCCCCCTCAATGACAGACATGTGCTACATTCGAGAGGGCAGAATATGCTACCATATGGCAGCATATGACAGACATATGCTACTCAATGATAAACATATGCTGCCCTTTAAATGACAGAAATATACTCCCCCCCTCAATGGTAGACATGCCTCCCCATCATTGATAGACATGCAGCCCTCTCAATGACGAAAATTCTACCCCTTAACAACAGAATATTAATTGTATGTTGTAAATATGCAAGACCATTTGTTTCAGCTTTGGTTGTAGCCAAATAATTCAATTTAATTTATTTTACTTTCAAGATCATCGCAACACTTTAAATACATCCCGCCAAACTTGCAGTGTTGCGTGCTCTACAGCAGTACTCTACCAGGAAACATTTCTGGATATTGGTCCTAAAATCATGGTTAACTGTTGTGCAGTCCACAAACTGTAATGGCTTGTTAAAAAGTGTTGTAAAAAAAACCTTACCCTCAAAAGAATTTATCAATAATTTCCTTTTGGTTAAAAAATACCAAGTCATAACAGAAATATCATTTATTTCCATCTTCAGGTGATATAAAACATTTCAAGAGGACTACGCTTCATCATCTTCAGTGCTGCCATTGAGTTTAGAGAGAATTCCTAATGTGCCCTTTTTCCCAAATATTGCATTTTCCATTCCTGTTGCATTTATTGCCATGACTGGATGCAAAGCTGTGCGTAGAGACCAGTACAATCCAGGGAACAACACCTCTTGCTGGGCCAGCATTTGCTTCACTCGATGACGTTCCTGCCACAGAAAAAAATAATAGCTAGTTACCCAAATAATAATGCCAGCCATTATAAGTTATATAATGCCGTACCTTACAATTAATATTACCAGAAACTCAATGTAACATTGTTCCCAGATCTAGACAATCATGGGACAATATACATGGGAGATTTTAATGCTAGACATATTACGCTGGGAGACAGTACTAACAACGATAATGGATGCAAATTTATCAAATATGTTTATGACAACAGATTAACCGTGTATACTACGGATACCCAAACTCATTTATTGGGAGGCAGACTTGATTATGTAATGGGTAGAAACCTTGTGCAAGATAGGATGGAATGTTCGTTGGTAAATCACTTAGTTAGTGATCACTATGCAGTTTCTGCTTCCTATGAGGTACAGTGTGATGTACCTAATAGACATCAGAGACGGAAAATGAATATTCCATATGGCTTGCATGACCACTTTATTAATTGTATATCAAAATGGTATCAAGATTACACAATAACGAATGTACAAGCCTTCTCCAGAGATCTCGTTGATACGATTACTACCTACTACGACACATGGGTGTGTTGGGGAACAGGTCGTAAGCCTAGCAGAAGTGGGCAACACCTACCACCACCCAAGTGGGTCCTTGACCCCGTATTTGTTAAAGAACATGAACGAGTAAAGCAACTTGGAGATGCGTACAAACGAACCAAAGCACAAGGTGACTTGCATGCATTTCTAGTTGCAAATAGAGAGATGAGAGACATGAGCAACGTTATACGTAATAAACACTGGGAAGAGTTCCTACAAAGTATAAATGAGCAAACAACACTTGTTGAAGTTTGGGAAAAGATACGAAAAATCTCTAGAAGCAGCCCAGCCAAACCGCTGCACCACAGCCCACTAGAACAAGCAAACATCCTCCTTGATCAATGGGCAACAACATCGAGCTACGACTCACTCCCAATTAACATACAGCACAAACTTGATGACACACGCCCCAACAGACAACGAACCATCAATCTTGCCTGTACAGCTATCGACGTGTCGGACCTTAATGATGTAACTGAATGGGAATTAAATCATGCACTAAAGATGGGAAAATCAACTGCTCCTGGAGAGGATGGTATTACTTACAGTCTACTGAGATTAGTCTCACACGTACCAGGTAATCCACTATTAGTGTTGTACAGAATGAGTTTACGTGAAGGAGTATTACCTGATGCTTGGACAAAGAGTGTCATTGTTCCCATCCCCAAACCACACTCAGATAATTATAGACCCATATCTTTAACATCGTGTGTTTGTAAAGTGCTTGAACGTATTGTTCTAAACCGACTCATATATCGTATACAGGGGCACCTGTCACCCCAACTGTTTGGATTTATGCCTGGGCTCAGTACACAACACTGTTTTGCTGAGTACTTCGCACATATTGAAGCTTCCCCCCAAACAGTCTTCATCGACCTAGCAGCAGCTTTTGATACAGCAAACAGAGAAATCATACTGGAACAGCTTGCCGAGCTGGGAATACAAGGAAAATTACTGAAATGGATAAAGGGCTATTTGTCTAATCGAACAGCATATGTTTTGTTTAATGGTGTTAAAAGCACAGAGAGCAAACACTTTGAACTGGGAACTCCACAAGGAGGGGTCCTCAGTCCCTTGTTGTTCAACGTTCTGATGCATAAACTTATTAAAGATCTTCCAACTAATAATGAAGACACTGTCATTTGTTATGCTGATGATATATGTTTACAGGCTGCCACCGAGCCTAGAATGCAAGTTCTGCTCGACGCTTTTGCTACTAGAGCTGAGGAATGTGGCCTCCTTATCTCTACAGAAAACTCGTGCCCTCATTCCATGTGGTATTTCACCACCCAATTATCATATAGATGGGCGAGCACTTGAGAACTGCGAGTCTTACAGATACCTTGGTATCCCCATTAACGACCCTGGGTACCTTTCTTCTCTCAAGAGGAGACTTTGGGAGAGATTAAAGCCCTTGCGGGTCCTTGTTGGTGTCAATCATGGGCTTAACGTGAGACTTGCTAGAATGTTTTATGTATCATTTATACGCTCTGTGATTGACTACAATGCTCTACATCTCACACTGTATACTGACAAAGAGCTGAAATCTCTTGAAACCTTGCAAAATGAAGCTATGCGTCTCATCCTTGGGGCTCCAAAGTCCACGAGAATAGTTAACATGAGAGCAGAGTTAAAATTACTGTACCTACCATAAGTGAGAGAATCTTGTCTATTAGCACAATTTTCGGCGTGAAGGCATTGAGTAGATCTAGACAACACATGAAGTTTCAAGCTAAACTTTCTAATATGCTACACTCACCTGAGGTCTATAGAAGAAGAACGAAATCTGATTATGTATATTGGTTCTACAAGGTAGCCAACTCCATTAAAATATTAAATATGTACCCAACTCAACTAATGATTAATCAGCCAATTACTCCATGGGATAACTGGGATCTATCAGTTGATTTTGTAAATGCGCCCAAGAAAGATAGTGTGCACACTACATTGTTAAAACAGTTAACACTGAAAAGCATCACTGAAAGTACTCAGAGTATGGGTAACGATGTTTATCAGTGCTATACCGACGGCTCTGTAGAAGAAGGTGGACGATGTACCGGATGTGCATGTAACATATTTGAACAATCTTCTCTCGTACATACAGCAATGAAGCGCGTCAATGACTGGGCAAGTACAACTCAAACCGAACTTGCAGGCATATACCTTGCCACTGAATTTTTAAAAGACAAAGGCAGTGGACTTATATACTGTGACTCGCAGAGTGCACTCCTGGCATTGAACGCACATAGTAGTGACACCCAGAAAATAGTCAGTGATATTCGAATGAATGTTTTAGCTGCCAAAGAAAACAGATTTGAGATTAAATTCCTATGGATACCATCACATGTTGGCATCTCAAGGCATGACACTGTTGATATGCTTGCTAAGTCAGCCTGCAGAAAACCAGTGGTGGAAATTGATATGGGTATTTCATTAGCAGTGACAAAGAGTATACTTAAACAAATATCTAATGAAAATCTCACCGACCTAACAAATTCTCAAAGATCTGAAAGTTGTAGCATTAAATATTATGATAGATATCGTGAGGAGACATTCACATATGGGACTAATAGAACAAGAACCCGGCAATGTGATGTTATAGTGGCCAGAATACGCCTGGGATATAGATGTATCTGGCAGCTTTCTCAAAACCCAAATGTCGAGTACACAATGTGTCAACTTTGTGAAAGAGAAAACATGCACTCTCTTGAACATTATATTGTAGAGTGTCCAATACTGACTGACTTTCGCCCTCCTGGGCTAAGGTATGCTGAACTCTGTAGTTACTATATGAGTACTGCAACACTTGATGATATATTGGACTTGTATCCAAAATTGACCATGTAATGTATCAATCATACAATGTATGTATGTGATGTAACTATATAACCTGAGCTTGTAAAAGCACCTTCATCACCTTCAGTGATTAAGTGCTTAATTGCACACTAGTTTCTTTATCAGCTACCTCACCCTGTGAGGGTAAATGAGACAAATGTATGTGAATGCATGTGTGTGTGTATATATGTATGTGTATGTGTATGTGTGTGTGTGTATGTATATGTATGGGTATAAAGCATAAATGGAAGCTGATCAGAATTACATTTCACCTTTGTGAATGTACATTAATGACACTATGTAAAAGACACATCTAATACTTTATGTAGGGCATACGTAAATCTGTGTATCTATGTATTTACGTATGTTGGTTAGCTTAGCATTTTAAAAGCACCGAATCACCTTCTGTGGTTGAGTGTTCAATAAACCCTTGAACTGTATGTTTAACACTTCTCTAACCCTGTCCATGGAGGACAGAAGAAAATGTATATTTGCTGGTTAGCATTGTAAATGTGTGGCCACGTCTGTGGTAGAAAATAATACAAAAAAAAAAAAAAAAAAAAAATTAATATTGCAGAGCTCTCATGGCTCAAATAGTTCCAAGTGAATGCCATTTAACTTAAAGCACCATAACTTGCATAAAACAGCTTTAACAAAGGTTATACTGTACTGAGAAGATATGTAAATAAAAACTGGGAGGCTGTCTGCAACTACGGGAACGAATGTTTGTCAGTCCAAGCTTGGAGGCCAGACATTAGGGGTTAGCCTCATGCAACTTTGCAGGATAATTGGCAGTTTATGGTCTCATAAGATGGTTATGGTTGGCATCTTTTCCTAGACTTGAAGGCAAATCAGCCTACACACCCTCTTCACAAAGTCAATATAAAATGTGGAAGTCTATAGAGCTTAGCATTCATTTAAATAATGTATTGGTGCATTCCACATATAGAAATACAAAATAATTATTCAGGTAAGAGTTGTATTCCAGGCACAACCTTCTGATTACAGTGATGCATATATTGTCAAGTGAAAACCTTTAAAGTGACATGTTTAAAGTTGCTTCATTCGATGACGTTCATGCCACAGAAAAAAATAATAGTTACACTCGCTATTACACTGCTTGTGGATGGTGACGGGGAGGGTGCGTGTTGGTGATGACGGGAAGGGTGCATGTGGATGGTGATGGGGAGGTTATCTTGAGATGATTTCGGGACTTTAGTGTCCCTGCGGCGGCCTGGTCCTCGACCAGGCCTCCATCCCCAGAAAGCAGCCCGTGACAGCTGACTAACACCCAGGTACCTATTTTACTGCTAGGTAACAGGGGCATAGGGTGAAAGAAACTCTGTCCATTGTTTCTCGCCAGCGCCCAGGATCGAACCCGGGACCACAGGATCACAAGTCCAGCGTGCTGTCCACTCGGCCGACCGGATCCCATTTCAAGAGGACTACGCTTCATCATCTTCAGTGCTGCCATTGAGTTTAGAGAGAATTCCTAAGGTGCCCTTTTTCCCAAATATTGCATTTTCCATTCCTGTTGCATTTATTGCCATGACTGGATGCAAAGCTGTGCATAGAGACCAGTACAATCCAGG